TATATATATATGACAAATAAAAGTGAGAGTTGTCATTCTAAAAATATACCACGCGTAGAACCTGGAAAACACTGATGGATATATAATATAAACTTTTTACAATTACACGTGCAAGGTTTTGATTTCTTCATTTTTAAACAATATGCTCGCCCAATAAAATTATACATGGGTTTTATTATAATGCGTATCAAAAGGCCCACGGATATGCCACCTTTACCATACATGCATGCGTATAATTTAGAATCAGAACAATACATCAAAAACCCGGAATGTTTTTATTTATCCATAGAAACCGGGAATTTATAAGAGTTTTATACAAAACCATCGTACATCGGATCGGTCCGGTTCATTCGGGGGAAATTTAGTAGAGGACCGGCCGGCTCAGTCACAAAACAACTGACAAAAGCCAAATCTCCGGTGATATTTTCCCCTTAGCTTATGCATATTGGAAAAGAGAGTATTGGGTACAAGCAAAAGTTTAAAGAGACTGATATGTCCTCCTGCTCCGTATGTTCCTATTTACCTGCAAACCAAATTAAAACCGAACCCATCCAAGATCATGAACACCCATTTTCGCAATTCGGGAAGCAGGAATCCACGAACCAAGCAAGCAAAATCGGGAAAAAGCCGAGAGAATTTTCATCAGAGATCGATGAACGGATTACTGCTTGATTATTACCTTGATCTAGTAGTAGTACACAACATTGGCCACAAAGCTCTTCAGTAATAGAGAGATCCTGCAAAGGCAGAATTTTTCAAGATTAGAAACAGAGGAATGAATTGAATCCTTCAGGCTAGGATCTTCTGTAAAGGGGAAAACCCCGGTTTTTTCTTCTCCTACGATACCTTGCCACCAGTTTCCTCTCGAGGCGCTTCCAGAATCATCTTCTACCCCATCTTTCTTGTACTGCAACAATATCCCCGCAAACAAAACGATATCACAGCCAGATTCGTAGAAACGATGCTTTATGAAGACAAGAACAGTGAGGAAAGCTTCGTATATAAAGCCTTAAGATCCTTCTCCGCACGCAAATTAAGTCATTGATCATCATAATGCATAAAGAGATTTTTAAAGAAAACTTCAATGAGGCGATTCTATCTTATAGTTTTTATATACCGTAGAGTACATGCTCGAATCACTGACACTCTGAGGCTGAGCATAATCGTCTTGACCTCCATAGTAGATCGATGAGCTTAGATGGCACGGTTGCACTCTCTGCTCCTGATAGATCGAACCCATGCCCTCGTTAGCCAGACCCAGTTTCTCGTCTCCCCTAATTCTTCTACCGGTAACGCCTGAAGCAAGCAGAAAAGATCATCCATGAACAAAAAGGGATAAAGACTTCTTTAACAAAAAAAAGGGATAAAGACTTTCATAACAAGTAATGCAGAACAGTGTTTTCACAAGTCCAAAACCTGATGAAATGGGTTTCTAAGCGAGAAACAAGATCATCTTCAACAGATTAAACCGAAACACAAGCACCGATTCACATAAAAGAAATCCGAGTTCTTGAGGGACTATATATATACCGGTATCAGCAGCTTTATTGTTCCAAGCCTCGTTTGAGGATTCCACTGGTTTGCTCCAACCACCGGTCACAGTTTCTGGTCGCAGAGATTCCCTTCCCAAAGCCTGAGATCGATACAAGAACAAGATTTATCAGCTAAATTAGCAGGGCAAAACAAAATTCAGAGATTTAAAAATTGGAACTTTGCAGAAAATAAGTTGGATTACGAGCAAAGAATGGTAAACTTAAGGAAGTATAAACAGTGTAGCCCTATCAGATACTTGTGTTCCAAGCCACAGATCACAGAATTCTTCAACAGCCCTTATTCGTCGATTAGATCGTGGGGGTGAGAAGGTAAAATTTCTGTACTTTTCTCAAATAAAATACAGATTCTGCATTTAGTATTCCGAAAATCAGAAACCCTTATTCGGGTTATCTTGAAAACGCTGCAACAGACGATCAAAATCGGATTTTGAAGTATTTCGCCATTGGTAAACCCTAAGTTCTATCTGCAGTATGGGTTTGAATCGATTTTTCTCGCAATCAAAACAAACAAGGAGATGGAAATTAGAAAAATAACGGATATTAGATATACACACCCACGAAATTGAAATCCAGCAACTTCAAATCAAATAAAATCAGGCAAAATCACTTGTGGTACACATCGACGTATTCTGCAAAATTTTACCAATACAAAAGCGGGGGAAATATAAAATAATCCTATGGAATAGCAATTACCTTTGACGGTGGAGCGAAAATCGACTCGAAAATTCCCGAGGTTGAAGAAGAAGAAGAATTTTCTCGGGAACCAAACAGCTCAGACGTCAGCGAAGACGAACCCACTTTCTTCTTTCCTTCCATCGTCCCTCTCTCTCTATTTTCTCAGCTAAACCCAGAGAACGAGCAACCTGTATATACACCTATGAGTGTATAGATATATGTGTACGAAGACACAGGTGGAGAGAGAAATCGGAAGGGGAAGAAAGCCGGGTGGGTCGGCCTCGACGATTTATAGATGGAGCAAACCAACGTCTGTTTGGAGTGATTTTCCGAAATACAATTAATTAATTAATTAATTATAAGTGAACAAATAAAATGACACTTTATTAGGAACTTAGGAATTTTGATCTTATGTAATTTTATTCGAATATAGGTGCGATCACCAATTAATTACATATCTATTTCTAGATATTCTTAATATATAATTATTATATACTTTTTGGCAAAGGGTTTATACTTGTTTCAAGTTTTCAACATAAAATATACAAATCGATATATGACATTGAATTGTGTATGGCACGATGGACTAGGTGTGTGTTGAACAGTCAAATACAGCAAATGTGTTTGTATCTGAAACCATGTGTACGTGTATATATATATATATATATATGTGTGTGTGTGTGATGAGAGATTGTAAAACTCTCAAATAAAAAATAAAAATAAAAATCTTTGAAATTATCGCCGTTTGAAAGTCGCAGGAACACGCAAGTTGCAAGTAGATACAAAACCCCTCTTCAAGATGTCTAAATCCAATGAAATAATCTGTTGTTTCCTTGAAAATCTTATCCGAAATCTCTTTGGATTTATGAGGAGCAACAGTTTCCTCACACACACGTATTCAAAATTAATAAACGATACTGCAAATCACATCTCTCTGTGAATCTAAAATAAGATATTTTTTTAAGGCAATATTTCTTTTTGTTTGGTTTTGTAAAATTTTCGAAAGATTATAATCTTCTATTAAATTCTTCATGGTAAAAATTGGCTGATTTCTTGCCTAGAAACCCGTATTTATCACATAATTTTCGGTGTGTAGAAATTAAAATAGAAAAAAAAATAAAATATAGATTTTTTTAATAATACATACATATAATACCCAATTATTTTCCCAAGAAATTTATCCGGCCCCAAGGCCCGGCTAGGTGTCCAACAAGGAGAGTGACACGTGGAAGATCGAGGGATACATGGGTCCCACGGACATTTCGAGCTGACACGGGTTCCCCAGTGGATAAATAACGAACCCTAAAAAGGGTCAAAGTTCGTTGCAGTTTATCTTTGACTTTTCATCGTCTGTCATTGGTTCTTTGTGGATATAAATTACACGACAGTTAAAAGAGACACCCAACCTTATCTTTTTATCCTGTCGGTGCCAGCGTCTAATTTTTGTATAGATTTACATCACGCATATAACTATGTATATAATGGATACCATATGGTGTCACTGTGCATTAATTGTCTACAAACTCAGAGATAATTAGGCGGTCCGGTTTTATATTTTTCAGTAATTTCCAATCTTTTCTAAAACCGCATATACAATATAACACGTATAAGATTAAACATTTTTTACATTTTAATATTACCATTTATCGGATAAATGAATTGTTTAAATTTTTCGTATTTTTCAAACTACAAAATTTTCTCGTAACTCAAAACTCAAAATAAATTTAACAACGTGCAAAAAACAACATAGGTTTCTTCTCTCCTCATTTTTGTAATTAAGTAGCAATAATGTTGTCTGATATAAGTAAATCAGTATTTTTTTTTTACCATCTGTGCTATTTCGTATGTTATCATGTTCTTTTATGTGCTTTGTATAAAAAAAGGTAGAAAATATTTACCAAAAAAAGGTAGAAAATACAAATAAAAAAGAACAATTTATTCAATGCCATGGATGTGTATGGCCCGCCGCCCGAAAATTTCGAAATTTTAATCATTTCATATATACTAATTATTAATTGGAATATATAATAATTTTCCAACTTGTGGTCATTACCTCACTGCCAGATTCGTATTAACAAAAGATTCCATTTTAACAGGTGTTTGCTCTTTGTGGATTTGGTAGAACATCAGATTCATAGGTCATTTAGTAAAAGCCGTTTCAAGAGAGGATTTGTTCCCTACATTAATTGATATCCAAAAGATCAGATTCATGGAATGTATTCTTATTCTGCATTCTATTTTAGCATTAAATCCAAAAACATATTTATATGGTAGAGACGTTGCCCTAATTATAATTTGCACTAACATTTTATAATTGCAATACAGATATATACCCTCCTGTAATAATATACTAATCTTATAGGATCATTTGTGAAATTTGTTTAATTCCATTTTCTCTCTCATCTTCTCATTTCAAATTTTCTAATTTACTAAGACTAAAGGGTAAACCAATCATACCCTTAACCCCTAAATCCAAAAATTTAAACCCTAAACATACAGTTTAGGATTTATGGTTTATGGTTTGGGGTTTAATTTTTTTTTAACCCACTTAGAGTATAAGATAGGTTTAAGGTTTAGAATTTAGAAATTAATTAATGTTTATAAATTTCGGGTTTAGGGTTAAATTAGGAAGAGTTAGATGAGAAGAAGAGAGAAATTAAAAAAAAAAAGATTTTGAAAAAACTGTCAAATATCCCATAAGATTAGTACGATGATTTGTAGGCTAAAATGGTTGGAAGGTTGAGCATTATTCATCTTAAAATCGCTTACCAAATCAAATAAAAATAAATCAGAGAACTGTTGAATTGAACGGAACAATATTTGATCCATAGATGGAAGAAGCATGTTTCATCGGACGCTTCAATATTTTGGTAGATATGTTTTTGTGTGTTTCTATAAAGAACAGACAATTACTCTCGATAAAAGCATTTACGATCTTTTGATAGATAGTAACATATAAAAAAAATAAAATAAAATAAATTATCCTGAAAAGTGGTATGAACTTGTGTCGGTCCAAAACAATCTTATATTGTAGATTCGAGATAACCCATCTACATACGTTTCATTTTTTTAATACGGAAATAGTAGCAATATAACAGTTTACTATACATCTATGGATTGGGGAAGAAATCTATAATTTTCAATTATAAAATGCGAAATTCATAGAAAGAACGCTTTCCCCATACGACGGTGCGACCATTCCCATTTCTCTCTTCCTCTTTTTTGATAATAGAATATGAAAGTGCCATGTGGATTCTCTAATCACATGTAGGGGATTGTGTGTGCATATATATATATAGTAACATATATATGCAAATGTATTAGAAGATGGTATGAATGCCAGGTAAAGTCTCATGTAATTTGAATTTTGCGAGAACAGATATTACGATATTCCGAAATTACAGTCTAATCGAAATTTGCTATTATGTACTGATAATCTTATATGATAAGATAGACAAATCAAGAAAATAAAATTGACCCATTTACAAATCTTTTACTGCAAGAAAAATTAAACCGTCGACGCCGGAGATTCCATCTCGTTAGAGTCACGGGCTTTGCGCCTCCTCGTAGCCCTAATATAACAAAACACACCCACCAGAAACGCCGTCGCCAAACCGCCGAGGATCACTCCGCCGCCGGCGATCGACCGGTCCACCGTCGAGTGGTGGCTCCCCAGCAGCTCCTCTTCCTGCTCTTCCGCCGCCACCGGCGGCTCTCCTTCTGGACTCGGCCGGTAACCCCCGAGCCTTCTAGCCGGAGTGGAATGGGCTTCGGCCACTGACGTAGCGGCTGCGGCTGCGGCGGTGAACGCCAGCAAGAAGCATAGAGCGAGAAGTTTCCGACGAGCCATTTTGCATTGTTCTTTTCTTTCTTGATTTCTTGGGTGCTGCTTCTGGGGTAAGTGCGAGTTAATATTTGTAGGGCGGTTTCTCGGATTAATTTTCTCATCGTGGGATGCGAGACGGAAATTTCCCCGAGTGTTTGGATCCCGGGAAAATGCCAGAAAATGTCGTGTTCTTCCATATGGCTGTCGGGCTGGCCGGTGGAATCGCACGGGTGTACACGTGAGTTCATTACGTAGAGAGAGAGAGAGAGAGAGAGAGGAAACAAAAATAATCATTTTTCTTGAATCTTGCGAATAAATTGAAACCAAACTTTGAGTTATTGATTATGAAAGAGATGATTATTTATTTTTCCCGAAATATCAATGTGTGCGCATGTACATATATTTCTTACTAATTAATTTTATTAGTGATTTTATAACGCAGTTATCTGGACCGGCAACGGGATCTGTGCGATGTTTATATGTAGAGTTGTCTGCATTATTAGAGCACAAGGGGAAGAGTCTCTGTCTCGTGGCAAAGATCGAAGGTGGTCGGAAACCTGTTTCCTCTTTGTTTAATGCATTTTCAAACGAGTAAGCGACATCCAAGGCCTGGCCCAATTAATTGATTATGGGCTTATTACAGGCTTAATTAATTCTTTTTGGGCTTACTATAGGCCCATATAATTGATTTTGGGCTTGTAAGAGGTGAGTCTGTCTAAATCCGATCTGTGACTGAACTATAAAAAAAAAATAAACACATATATAATATAAGAATATTTGGTGAGGAGGATAAATTTGTTATATATATATATGTGTGTGTGTGTAACTGTGTATGCATAAAACATATGAGGAGAGAGAAGAGGCAAAAGCAGAGACGCAGAAGAGAGAGAGAAGCGCCCAGGAGTCACGCAACTAAACAGGTGACGTCATCACAGTTCACCTATGGTTTACATGGGCTCCATCCTATGCCTCTGTTTTTTCTTTTAATTACATATTTTATTCAATATTCTTTTGATTTCGTTTGTCTATATTCTCAAAATCTACAAACACTTTAAAATAAAATCTACATATATAGATTTGTGAAACGATATATATATATATACACACCTCTTAACCTTCACACGGTTTGTATATTTATGAAATACAAATACTCGACAGTCTAAATCTGAATTCGAATGTCAATTTTTTTTTATCATATGGATATGATTACTAGGAATTCTGAATATCAAATTATCAATACTAGATTTTGCACACACTGCTATATAATATGTATAATGAAATAAATGCATATCTACACGAAACAAGATTTGATGGTACAAAACATAATATATACTTGTCAACATGTGGTGGGGGGACTTGTTTGGCAATTTTCTAACTAATTATGATTAGGGTTTTCCGAAAAGCCAAATTCAAAAAATAAAATTTAAAATTTACAATGTGAGTAATAATACTAATAAGAGCATGGAATGATTGATGTGATTTTTACAAGCTTTGTCGATTTGAGTGATTTTATTTTCCATGTGCTGATAAATAGTATCGCTACTATAAATTCTACTTTCCTTTTTTTCTATAGATTATTGTTTTTATGTTTCGTGCACCGAATATAATAATGGTTAAAAAAAAAATATGTATAAAACCTTAATTAAATCAATTTTAAGTATAGTATTTTTTTTCTAAGAAATATCAGTAAAATGTTTTCGCAACTTAACCCGTTCTTAATGGAAATATGTACGGAGTTATGGGTTAACGAGAAAACGCCGTTACATCAAATTGACGGCAGACACCCCGTTTTTACTATACGCAAAAGATTCGGTGTTCAGAAAAAGAAAGAGAAAAAAAGGCTAAACGGACGTTAGCATGACGACGTCATCTAAGCATCTCGATGTACGTACGTAGACGCAGTTCAGTGCTTTGATAGGAGGCGAAGTCATTAATTAACTTCCACTAAAATCTGCACATTCACATTGACACGCCCACCAACCATCCACGTCATCAGTATTCCCCCATCATGATGTTTTTAGCTTTTGAAATTTACACCACGTTTCTTTAAAATAAATTATTTACGTAACATATTTCTCATGCGAATTAAATATATTACTCTGATGATTAGTTACATATAATTATCGATATTTACATTGATGTCGATTTGATTTTATACTTTTATTTAGGGGTGGCCAATTCGGGTTTCGGTTCGGGTTCGGTTCGGTTATATCGGTTATAGAAAAACTATAACCATTCGGTTTTTATATAAATTTCGGTTCGATTCGGGTTTGGTTCGGTTTTGGTAAAAAGTTCAATTTTCCAAAAAAATTGTCGGTTATTCTCTCGGTTTTTTCGGTTATTTTTTATTCGGTTCGGTTCGGTTTCGGTTTCGATTTTTCAGGTTTAAGGATATCATAACCGTTCGGTTTTGATGTCGGATTCGGTTCGGGTACGGTTATGTCTTATTCGATTCAGTTCGATTCGATTATTCGGTTAATAACCGAAATGGCTACCTCTACTTTTATTAAATGAAAGATGCTTATTTTAGCATTACAATCATTAATTAGTGTTATTCTTTATAATTGTTAATTATTCATAAGGAAACACTAGCTGTGACAAAAATGGAAGGCAGTGTTGACGAAAACACACGATTTTTTTTATATTTGTTATAATTTGTTGTTATATTGCACATGGTGATTTATCAAGACAAAGAATTGTTTGTTCTCGCCGGAATTTTGAGTTTGTGTGTACATCCCATCGTTTCATTGGATTTTGAAATCATTTTATAACAATTCTAACAATACATGATAATCAAATATTTATATTCTGCGTTTAAAATTTTGATTTCTGGTTATCAGTGTTTATTGATTAAACTTAGTCATTTTATTAACGCAAAAAAAAAAAAAAGATAAATGAGATTAGAAAAAGGCCCTTGATTTAACGATTAGATAAATATACTTTATATCCATGAATGTCTTAATCTCAAATACTTTTGATATATATATATATATATATATACATACAATTTACGACGACATTTATGTAACTTGTTATATCTTTCAAATGGTGGTCTAGTTCGTAAATTTTTTAACGACAGTTGTTAAAATGGCGTTGATATGAGTTACAATGATAAATTCGCATGTACACTTTTTTCCGTTTTGAAAAAAAAAATCACAAAACGACAAAAAGTTTAATGGTCGGAGAGAGAGAGAGAACTTATTTACCGGCTATAGCCGGTCGCTTCCTCCCGGTTTCCCGTACTCTTCTTCATTCTTATTCCCCCAAAGAAAGTATTTATTCTTTATTGACTGAAATATCATGATTTCGTATTATACTGATTAATTACTAATCAGGCTTACATAAAGAACTAAGCGAGACAAGAGATCAAGCATATTATCGGTCGTATAACTTGAAATACCATTCATATACTAACTACCACAAAGTCTATAAATTCTTTGTTTAGATGATTATATTTTTTTTGCCAAGTTAATTTATATTAACATATATATTATATATATAATTTATGATTGACATAATCGGGTTAGAGAAGGGGAGAGTATAGCTTTAGACGCGTCTTGAAGTATTAATAGAGTATGATGAAAAGAGAGAGAAAAAGAAAAGCAGACAGTCTTTAACTGAGATCTTGTGTGCGCAATTTCGTGTGTATCTCCATCGTGCTTCAAAAATAAACCATAGAAAGCTCTCTCTCTCTCTCTCTCTCTCTCTCTGCCGTAACCTCTCGTTTCAGCATCACCATATCTCTTCCACTGTTACTCTCTCTCTCTCTCTCAAGAGTTTTCTTTTTCTGCTTCTATCCCTGGGCATCCATGGCGGATGCGTTCGAGCCCTACCATGTCCCACAACAGAGCCGTCGAGATAAACTTCGCATCCTCTCTCACTCCCAAAACCCTTCTCTCGATCAAACCCACTTCTACTTTCACCCTCCTCCTTCCGCCGCCGCACTCTTCCCTCTCGTTGACGCCGACTTACTCTCTTCCGCCGCCGGCGAGCCCCACGCCCTCGCTAACTTCATGGGTTTTCTCGGCGGAGTCTCTGTCGCCGGTTCTCCGCCCTCTTCCTCCGCCGCTGTCGCCGGAAACAGAGCTTGCGACCAGGCCTTCAATGGCGGAGACGTTTTTGTCTTTAAGCCCGAGCCTTTGTCTCTCTCCTTGTCATCTCACCGCGGGCATGACCACCAGAACAACAACAACGATCTCCACAGGTTCGGGACCGGGTACGATGTTGTCGTCCCTGGCTGCATCGGATCCGCCGCGTCGAGGGGCTCAGGCCCGTTGCGTCCACTTGGTCCGTTCACGGGCTACGCTTCGATCTTGAAGGGGTCGAGGTTCTTGTGGCCAGCTCAACAGTTGCTTGAGGAGTTCTGCAATGTGGACCGTGAGATTTACTCCGACAGAATCGACGACGACGATTCGTCTTCGATGTTTGATCCGACGGTGGAGAATGTCGCCGCGAGCTCCGGCGTCGGAGGAGAGACCCATAAGATGAAATCCAAACTCATCTCCATGCTTGACGAGGTATGTACAAAAATTCACTCCCAAAGGAAAAATGGTATCTTGAATAACAAATTCATATTGTTTTTAACTTTGAATAGATCACCATTAACGTGTGCCCGAATCATATAATTTGACGTTCGTAACAAGAGTTGATCGAATTTGGTTCGCAACTTCTTATAGTCGGGAGACAGAAAAATCAGAAGTTAATTCATAGTTGTCTTGTAGTGTCGAGTTTTTGTCCCGTAGATAGTTTTTTGTGATGAACGATATGTGTTTCATGAAGATCGTTCTTCCTTGGAAATGGAAACCCAATGCCATTAAAATATGTTCTTCGAATATTTTATTTTACTTACTATGCTATATATCATATATTCTAATTAAGTGTTGCTTATATTTGCATGAAGCGAATCGTCGGACACTGAATATGGTTCCTTTAGCAATACATACATACATATATATATATATATATATATGTATAAATGTATATGCACAAGAAGTTCGTTTTTCTATTATTGCCTTTGGATACTTGGAAGACAAAAGTTATTGGAGTCTCGATATAAAGAATGAGATATAGCAGCGAATCGTATTTTGTCGTAGGAGCCCATTTCCGCCATCTTCGTAAGATATAAATAATCATATATATACTATATGTTGTTAGAATCTAAAGTACATTACTCTATATGTAAGCTTTCCTTGACTCTTTGTTCTATCACTTGTGAATTAGATTCCTATCATTTGAGGGACACAGATTTAGCGTGGCCTAAGTGATCAGAGAATTCTCCCTTTTGCCGGAAAGCTGGTCTAGGAAGAGGAATATATGCACAAAATTATGCATTAATGTATTTGATGGGAAGTCACGAACTTGAAAAAGGGTTTATAAAACAAATGATAAATTTAATTATATTGTTATGTATGGAAAGATGTATACGCACCATTATGCAATTACGAATATCTTTTATTAATAAATATAAATATGGTTATATTAAATGTAACATGTGACAGAGCGAGCAGCTTTTGCTTAGTTTTTCTCGGGCTTAGAAACAAAGGATTTCGAAATTGGTGCAAGTTGGTATTTATCGGTCACTAAAATGGTTCGACATATTGTCTATATGGGGTTTGGACCGGTCCGAATACGTCCTTCGTATTGCAAACCTTATATTATTTTTTTACATTCATGATTCTAGTTCAAGTATATATAGAGGGATGGACACATGTTTATACTTCAGTCGTCATTATGATAAGTCTCCATTTCCATATATGTCATTCAGAATCTCAGTCTCTCTAATGCGATATGAAGGTTTACAAGAGGTACGCGCAATACTACGAGCAGATCCAAGCCATCGTAGCCTCGTTCGAGTGCGTGGCCGGCCTGGCAAATGCCACGCCTTTTGCGAGCTTGGCGTTGAGGGCGTTGTCCAAGCACTTCAAGTGCCTGAAGAACGCGATCACGGACCAGATTCAGTTCACAAACAATAAGACACAACAAGGGCAGTTGATGAGTTCTGAAAAGGTTGAGTCTCTGGGTTTCGGAAGACATGGATTCTCTGATCACAACCCTCCTGTCTGGAAGCCACACCGTGGTCTACCTGAACATGCCGTGACTGTCCTTAGGGCGTGGCTCTTCGACCATTTCTTGCACCCGTAAGTGATTTTCGCCTTTTTTCTCTTTCGTTCTTTCGATTTCACTATCGTGTTCTACTCTTTGCGCTTTAAATCTCGGAAAATCTTGCAATGGTTCGTGCGTGGTGAATTAGATAAAAATGCGTGTTCTTCTGGTTCGAGATTAAGATAAATATGACGTGGTAGTGAGTTACGTGCATGTACCATATGAAAAGCCAATTCAAGGTATGCATATAATTGTGGAAATAATTGAGTGGGGAACCCTCTGTCTATGGCCTAACTCGAGAATCTCTTGTGAGCCATTGATATGTATGTGTTTTGGACGTATGTTTTAGATGGGACGTGTCGAATGTTTTGATCATGTTTTTATTTTCTGTCGTTTTATGCATGTATATATATGTATGTGTGTGTGACTATATAATAGAGATGTATAATAGTAGAAGACGACATTGCAGGTACCCGACTGATACGGACAAGCTCATGTTGGCTAAACAGACCGGTCTATCAAGAAACCAGGTTTGACTTTCTATCATCCCTCTTCTTTACAATCTCCTTATCTTTCTTCTGTCATTTCCCACTGTATTTATATATATATATATATATATATATATATATATATATACACACATGGGTGTCTATATATACATACATACATAATATGCATATTATTATTCTCCACGACTGTGGTGTTTTGCCTAAAGTCAGTAGTGTCAACCACGTTGGGCTCTGTATATATATATATATATATATATATATATATATATATATATATATTGAAAGTTAGTTACATATATGAATTAGGTATCAAACTGGTTCATAAACGCACGAGTTAGGTTATGGAAGCCAATGGTGGAAGAGATACACATGCTCGAGACACGACAATCTCAGAAATCGGCTTCACAGAGCGGCGGCGGTGGCGAAAAACCGGCTCAGCACACGTCACTGCTCAAGAGAGCCCGAAACGACGTTCCCGGTGGCGACTTTTCCGGTCACGATTTGTTGGGGTTCTCGTACGATGCCCAAAACGTCCCCGTTTTGAGCACTAACGGAGTGTCGTTGACGTTAGGGCTTCATCACCAGAACAACGGTCTCGGGTTAACAGAGCCGTTTCCGGTTAACGCTGCTCAGCGGTTCGGCCTCGGAGGCGGCGGCGGGTTTGAGGGGCAAAATCGTCAATTTGGCAAGGATTTTGTTGGTAGTGGTAGTAATCAGCTTCTTCGTGACTTTGTAGGGTGAAGTACATGTCCGAAAATGTTATTGTCGTTTTGGTTTGTGTATACGGGGTATTCTCCGAGAAAATTTCAACTTTCCCGAGAAAAAAAAAAAACCATCCCTAGGAAAGTAATCCGTCTTAAAGTTCAAAACCCTAGCGACAACGGTCTTACTTCTAGTTTCCATCGAATTTATTTTTTCCCACTCGATTTAATTTACAATTTTTCTTATGTAATCTACAGATGTGTTTCCAATTGTTTTTCTTTTCCATACTTTAATAGTTTTTCTTATATTTTTCTCGTTAATTTTATTTTTTTTAAAACTACGCGTCTAATATCAAATATCCATTTATCGTCATGTACTTGCTCTCTATCGTTTTTTTAATAACGATATTTAGTTATGAATACTAGACTAACATGAAAAATAGTCACGAAATCTGTGGTCCGACCCAAATGGAATCTATTTCAATATGGTGGATAGTAACACAATTTAGTCTACCACCCTAAAGTTTACCAATTATACTAGATATAGCTAATTTATATTTCGAAGATTTAATAGTCTAATCTAATAACCATGTGCGAAAATTTCAAGGACCAGTGTAAATTCCTAAAATTTGTGTTCTTGAGGATATAAAAGATTGAGTTCAATATTTGGATCGACAGAAATAATCATTCTTGATCCAAGTTGATGCCACAAGAGTGAATACTCTTGGCAAGATAGAAGGTTCCGAACCCTCTGTCTCGCAAAGAGTATTCGATAGTACCAAACTACTTTTTGTTGTGTGAAGTTTACGTTTTTATTGTAACAAACAAAGATTTCAGTGTGATTTCTATAAATGGTCGTGATAGATCCGATTAGCACCACAAGTAGTGAAGTGAAAAAGGGAAGAACCCATGAGGGCATAACACGTAAAAATGTTATATAGCTTTCCTTAGCTTAGCTTTATGGAGGACACAATATTTTGCTACCAAAGAAGCTGCCCCTTTCGTTTTCATTTTAGATATTAAAAAAATTAAAATATTTTCGTTTCAGAATTTATTCTCCTACCCCTTTTTCATGATTTGTGCTCAATTTTATTTTATATAACGGTCCATTCTCATGTGTTAGGTGGTAGATTTATACATACATACATACATATATATATATATATCATTCTAAGAAAATAGTTCATTTTCTTGTAAAAAAAAAGGGATCATTTTTTTTGGTACTCTTAAGTTGCAAAATTATATTTAAGCGATTAATTCATCAAATTGCGCCTAGAAAAGAGTTATAATTAAGATTAAATTTATAAATTAATTATAAAATTTGTCGGGCTATATTTCGAGAAATTAAAGAAGGGAATCGGTTCATATGATTACCAAGGAAGATGTCGTGATCTTGATGAGAGAAACAAAGAAAAAGCAGTCAAAAAATAAATTTTCACATCAAAGATCATTGTCCTCTTTGAAAGCAAATGTTCGAAGCTCCCATCATTGGCTCTTAAAAAGAACAGAATCTCTTTGATGATTTGATGTTGCATACCCTCCTTTTCCATCACACCTCTTGATGCCATCTCGCTATAAATTTGATACCATTTTCCCGTTTGATTTTGGTTGAACTATTTGGATTTGGGTTTGATTTTAATTTGATTATTTTTATTTTTGATTTATTTTTCCATTGGTTTATGTTCTTCATACATCGGATTTTATATTAAAAAAATTATTCATTTTAAAAAAATATTTTGATTGGTTTTAAAGTTATTTTTATTCAAGTTAGTTTTATCTAATTTTAAAAAAAAATTATATTCAATCAATTCTTAATTCGAGATCAATTCGGATATTTATAGATGTTATTCAACTAATTATAGATAAATGTGACTATTTCGTTTTTTTCAGTTTAAATTTATTTTTTTCTACGTTTTTATTTTAAAAAATATAACTACTCAATTTTTATTCAAAACAAATGTTTATTTTTTTATAAACATCTGTTTTTATTCGATTTATCATTATTTATTAGAGTATTAAAATGAAGATCTCGAAGCTTCTAGTTGAGTTCAAAGGTTTCAAGAGACGCGGGCATTCGTGACAAGGAGGGGGGTTCGCGCGAGACGAGCTGTGTGCGTGTGTGAGGGAGACGCGTCCGAGAATTCCGAGACGACGGAGTAACCGTGGGCACAAATATTTATATCGTATTCGATTTCTCTTCTTTTTTTTAATTAATTTTTTTAATAAATAAAAAATAAAAAATATTTTTTTATTAATCTCGTATAGCTTACACTCTCCATCACATTGATTTTACATGTAGATTTAGATTTAGATTTAGATTTAGATCGATGCATTACGAGACCAAGACATACAAAGAATATGCGACCAAGAAACGCAGTCGACAACTACAAGATTTCGTGTTGCTTCTCGGCATCTGTTCACGAAGCATTATACCTTTGGGATAAAGCATCATTCTTCCGCACCATTTCTCATATGAACCCTTATATATACACACATATATTCATAACCATAAGCAGCACCAACAAAATAATATCAACAACAAATAACAAGAAGACCCCCTTCTTCTTCTTCTTCTTCTTGCAACAATGGCGGGTTTTCAATGGATGTATTGGCGAGGACCAGGTAATCTGCATCCTGAGGTTTAAAGCTTCATGCAGCATCACGCATGTATATACGTATATATACACAGTTATATATGTACGTAAAGCTTTTAATCCTCGGGATGCGGATTACCTCTTCCTCGCAGTACGCACGCATGCACGCACAATGACCATATCGTCTACCTGCTCCCATCAGTCCTCATACATACATACATACATACATACATACATACATACATACATACATACATACATACATACATACATACATACATACATACACAGTCGTTCAACTGGGTAAGTTCAAGACTAAATATATCAAATTTCTGTTTTTCTTTTTCTGCTGGATTAATAGCCGGATGATTAACATATACTCGTGTATGTATGTATGTATGTATATATATACACACACGCCGTGTATGATCACGTACGTACATTTTTCTGAAGATAATGTAATGCTTTTGTACTCATAGAATATGGCCATCAATCATATAGTCTAATCATAAACGACATTTGATATGATGGATGGTTAAGTCTTGCAATCATATAGTAAAATTGCTTTTACAATTTTTTTTTTATAGTCTAGCAATATTTTATTTTTTTTCTAGCTTGTAGAAGAATACCGAAGCATATAACAATTAAAAACACATGTATATACACGCACTCGTACAGTGGTATATCGATCCGTTGTCATACACACATATGTACTGTATAGTGTATATAGCAATTATTAATACGAAACTAATTCTCAAGACCTATACGTACATTAGTTTTATTAGAAAATTAAGTTTATTAGCTTGATTAAACCGGCTATATACCGAATTCGGTAAATGCTCTGGCATTTTAGTTGACATAGAACCGGACCAAAGGTTGGAAGATGGGCAATTATGTAATTTCGATCGGCAGAGGTTGGCACGTGGCGTTAGCAGCTTTCGTCATTTTCCAAGCTTTTTTACGATACGATCCGTGCACGATTCCGTTTGGTTCATTTTCTTTTCTGCGATTCGATTTCGTAAGGTCCGATTGGATCATCGTCGTCCGAGCGTCCGGAGGTCCTGATTTGTAGGGTTTTTTTTCGCCGGAGATTGTTGGAGAAGAGAGAAACTGATCGAAGATTTCAGATTATGGATTGGGGAAACGTGACGGTCGAGGATCTCGTCGACGCGCTCCGGGAGGTTGACTGGTCTTCGCCGCCGCGTCCGCTATCCGAGTTCTTCTCTAGATTCACCGTTCCCAAATCCTTTGCGAAATGGGATAGTCGCCTCAAATGCAACCTCTACTAGTACGATCTCTGCCGGTTTATAACTTGCTTGGTAGCTGTGTGTTCTTCGATTGATCGTTCATTTCGAACGTTTGTTTGTTCAATTTGGTGTTTGAACATGGCATATGTCTTGTAGTTGGTATCATAGTTGTTCGGATCTGATGATACGATTGGATTCTGGAGTCTCTGGACGGTATTTGCTGAGTATCGTTCTGGTGAAACTCAGTCTAAAGAGACACCTCACTGCTTTTGTTGTACGAATTCGTTCTTCTATCTTCCTTACTTTGCAAAGCTTAAAACTGCGAGCGGAGGAGTGATGTTGCAGGAAAAGAGATTGCTGCCATTTTTTCTTTTTGTAGGCTATTGTGTGTCTCATATCTGTTCAAACCAAGCAGAATTCTGCAACCAGATTCATTTCTGTTCTCAGATAGCTCTTGTCATCTGTTTTTCAGCTACCGCACAAACTACTTCATCATGATCGTTGCCATACTCGGTATGTTAAGGAATTGTCTTGGAGGTGTATCTTCCTGTTATCCACCTATGTCGTTGTTTTTAAAGGTCAAGTCTACTTGCAGGATTGGGATTCCTTACAAGGCCCTTAGCGATTGTTGCTGCTCTTTTGACGGTCCTAAGCGTGGCTTTTCTGAATGACAGGTTGCCTTCCTTACTTCTTTTTCTCTGATACATGATCGGTATTCGTGGATATCTTCAAATGTGTGTCGGGTCTTGAGTGTGTTGACACATGAAATTTGAGATTCCATTACTTCGCGACATGTCTTGTTTGTAACACTTTGCATGGCTAAATGTAAGGTTTGTTTGGTCACCCTTATTCGGGTCTGTTGGTTTATCTTAGACCAATAGTTCTATGTCTTCTAACCATTTTGCTCATATCAAAACCTGTCTTCTGGTGCGAATGGTCTGAATTTTCACTGATTTTTCATTGATCGTGATTGTATCCTGTGTATGAATTACTGTAATAGTCTTCCTTATAGTATAATTCTGGGGTGGGTTAGAAAGCAAGGGGATCTATTTCTTCTCTCTTTTGGCTTCTCTCTGGCTGTCTTTCTTACGTTTTTCATGGTTTTTCTGCTTGCTGGTATCTAATCAAATTGTTTTCTGTGACTAGTGATTCTTGTATTTGTTTTATGTATCTTGGAGATTTTGATTGGAAGTGTGATGGGCTTTTGGTTCTTTGTTGTCTGCGGATGATTGCAATGTACAGCTTTGCAGGTGCTTTTAGTGAGAAGGTGACACGGACTGTCAGAAAATTCTCTCCACATTTAGCTGCAAGGATGAGGCCTCCTTTGACGTATGTTTGTTTGTCGTGTGCTCTATTATGTTATCCCTTCATTTTTGCTGGTTTATTGACTATTTTTCTGTGTATACAGTCCTGTCATTCGTGGGAGAAGATCAGCAAAAAGATCAATTCATATATGTGGTCAGCCCCGTTGGGTATTTGTCATGGCATTCTCACTGGGTATGTTGGCAGTATATTATATATATTCATCTTCCTCCACTCTATATGTGCAGTATCAATTGATGAACAAGTTTGGATTTTCTACCAACCATTATCTAAAGGTTTGCCAATTTTGAATGACAGTGAGTTTTGTCCTTTGGTATATCTCATGTGGGCTGTTCATGGTGTCTTTGGCACTTCTCATTGGACTTCTGGGTATGTCATCTGGTGCAATTGTAATCTTAGTGTTTCACTCATACAACATATCTCTGTATTCCGCTCCACTTTCTGCATTGCAGCAACGATCCTCCACGCAAGCCTTAGAACACCAAACTTGAAGGCACGGCTGAACACATTCAGGGAGGAATTCCGAGCAGTGTGGCGCAACTACACTGACATTTAGACAGAACCCAAGTAAGTACTATAAAATCTTCCATAAATGAATGATTTGTCTTGTGTTTTTGAAGCTAACCCTTCGCAGTCAGTGATTCTTTGCCAGTCCTATAGTGTATTGACTCTGACCGTTTAAATCTAAAACCGAAACTAAGGTTCTGTGGATCATATCAGTACATAGTCAGTAGTGCCAGTTTTGATAGATTTTCACTTGCAGGTGCTTGGACAGCATCTGTATTTCATTTGAGGTAATACCCAACAAGTCTCTTCATCTTCCAGATCAATTGTATCCTCATCCATGTAGTAAGCCCTTTAAGACTGTAATAACAGCAGTGTGTCTTTGGTTGGGTTCTGTATGTAACTTCCTCCTCCTTTTTCCTTTTATCAGATTGTAGAGCCAGTTAGTATTTTTTTTTATAAAAAAAAAATCTGGTCGACATGATAACCTTGGACAGTGTTTTGGTATAGAATTCCACGAGAGTCCAATTCCTTGATGGCCTCAATTGGACCAATTTGATAAGGAATGGCCTCAATCAATACTATACGTATCTCAACTATTAAGTTTTTGTCCCAGTTATTTTTTTTAAATATTTTGTTAGGAAAGAAAATTCAAATAATATAACTATAAAATGAAGATGACCAATTGTAGAACTAATCTCCACGTGTGTATATATTATATATAAGCCAAAATGTAGAACTAATGCTCTCACATCCCATGAAGACTCTCCATAATCATGAGGTGTAGGTAGTATTTTCAAAATTGGAAGCCCGATATTCAAAGCCCATAAAACTATGTTCAGCCCATGAGGCCCAATACAATATAGGCCCGATATAGAAAACCTCTAGCTGGGTTAGAAGGTTCGGGGAGGGCGAAACAGATCAGCGTTTTGTGAAAACGCGCATCATGAATCGCGATTGTGAGCCGTCAAGAATCAAGATTGTGGGCTCTCATTCAAGGCCCATTAGGCTATGAGAAAAAAAAAACTAAGCTCCTCATGTCCATGTATCATCATCATCATCATCATCATGTATGTATATTATTATGTCGTTTTTTAAAAACTATTTTTATACAAAGAAAAAGCTGTATGTATATTTATGGAGATGACGTGGCAGGTAATTATGCAAAAGAGATGAATAAGGGGAAAGACTCGTGGGCTCACGCGGTTGGTTACTTACAGCCGTTAAAAAAAAATATGGCCATCTTCTTGTTAGCATTTACCTCTGTTCATGTGGCACGTCCGCTTCCTATTTATTCACCTTCTTCCTCCCCTACCCAACCTCCTCCTATACGGTTATTAAAAATACGACTCTTAAATAATTTAACATTAATGTACATATATATATGGATATTTCCCAATCATTTAATACATTGTATTCATAGCACTAAAATAGTAAAAAAATGGGTTTAAATCCAAATGGAAAACGACATTAAAATTGCACATGAATATCAATTAAGAATTTTGGAAAACAAAATCCATATATCTATATATTGCCTAATTTAGTTACATTGCTCAGAGTCTCGCATGCCCATATTAGTGTTTGTGAAAATGAATTAGTTTGTGCTATAATTGTTTCTTTGCTATTAAGTACAAGTGTAACCGATAGAGTTTTTTTTTGTAACCGAATATCTTGAACCGGGATCCAAACTAATCCTGTAATCGGAAACCAGTTAGATGATTTGGAATATAAGTTTCTTCCCTAAATTTGATGTTCGAATTCGGGACGGGATATACGTTTTGCGCCTCCTTTCTTACAGGTTGAACTATCTAAGTTTGGATGTAATCGACAAAGTTTATTATATAGTAAAGTGATAAATCATATGATATATGTTTTTGATAATTAGAAGAATCTTTCTATTTTGAAAATCTAAACCTTTTCTATCGAACAATATATAAGAAAAAGAATAAAATATCAGAACCGTGAACGTGATACTATGAACCCGGTTCGATAAAACCGGAGAAGACGGTTTGGTTTTGGTGAGATCTCTTCAACAACAACCAAGCCCACGTATCTCTCCTAAATAACTGTCCCTGAAACTCCCCACCATTTTCTTCTCCACTTCTCTCTCTTTCTTCTGTTTCACGAATGAAACCTCATCGGAACCTAGATTCCATGGAGAATCTCCTCTGCGACGAATCTTGGCTCTCTCCCTCTCAAGCCCTAGAATCTTGCGGAATCTTCCACCACAGCTCTTGTGACAACACTGAAGCCATCTCTGTGGATTTGGAGAGAGAACTCTCTTACACTCCCCGAGATAAGTACGTGGAGCTTCTCGTCTCGAGGGACTTGACCCACGCAAGACACCGAGCGGTTC